TGGGTGAGTGTGAGTGGCTCGGTGGTTGAGTTCGTGGGTGGTTGAATGTTTTGGTGGTTGAATTATTGGGTGGTTGAGTGATGGGTGGGTGGGTGAATAATTACGTGGTTCGTGGGTGAGTTGCTGAGAGAGTGGCCGGGTGGTTGGGCGAGTGGGTGGGTTAGAAATTGAGTGGGTAGCATGGTGAGTGGATGTGTATGTGACTGGGTGAGTGGCTGGGTGAGTATGTGAGTGGATGGATGAGTGAGGGGGTGAGTGGGTTTGTGGATGAGTGAGTGTGTGGGTAGGAATGAAACACCACCACGCTTGGAGCGTATATTTAAACTGGGTTGGAAGGGGGGAAGGGCGCCTTGACAAAATAATTTGCATATCAAGAGGAATTTAGCATATTTATGGGAAATGCAGGTCTGTGATTAGTACTACTTGTGAAATCGTAGGAGGTGGGCGGGGGGTTTAAAGTCATATTATGCCTGTGCATTATGCAGGATTAGCAGCATCAAAGGGAGGGGATAGGGGTAGCATTAATAAAGGGATGTTAATAGTATGTAGCTGCAGTAACTAAACCACCACGTAAACAACTAAAGTATAAACTACGTAGACATCTCTAACGGCCAAACTGCCAGTGGCGCGAGACGCGGGGGCGATACAAGGTAACCACGCCCCCCCCCCCGTGATGTCACAGCCATGAGCTCCTCCCCCCATGCCCCTCCCCCTCACCCCCCATGCCCCTCCCCCTCACCCCCATGCCCCTCCCCCTCCACCCCCATGCCCCGCCCCCTCACCCCCATGTCCTCCCCCTCACCCCCCATGCCCCTCCCCCCTCACCCCATGCCCCTCCCCCTCACCCCCCATGCCCCTCACCCCCCCATGCCCCTCCCCTCCCCCCACGCCCCTCCCCCTCACCCCCCATTGCCCCTCCCCCCCCCCCATGATGCCGCACCCCCTCACCACCCCCCACCCCCCATGCCCCTCCCCCCACCCCCCCATGGCCCCTCCCCCTCACCCCCCCATGACCCTCCCCCTCACACCCCAATGCCCCTCCCCCCTCACCCACCAGCCCAATCCCCCACTCACGCCCATGCCCCTCACCCTCACCCCCCCATGCCCCTCACCCTCCTTGCCCATCCCCCTCACCCCCCATCACTCCCCCTCACCCCCCATGCCCCTCACCGGCCCCCATGCCCCACCCCCCTCACGCGCCCCCATGCCCCTCCCACCGAACCCCACCTGCCCTCCCACCTAACCCCCCCATGCCCTCACCCCCCATGCCCCTCGCCCCCTAACCCACCATGCCCCACCCCCCAACCCCCCATGGTCCCCCCTCACCCCCCACCCCCCCATTCATGCCCCCTCCCCCCTTAACACCCCCACCCATTCCCTCACCCTCCCTCACCCCCCCATGCCCCTCCCCCCTCACCCCGTCATTCCCCTCCCCCCTCACGCCCCCATGCCCCTCCCCCTCACACCCCATGCCCCACCCCCCTCACCCCCAAATTCCCCTCATCCCCCTAACCCCCCATGCCCCAACCCCCCTAACCCCCCATGCCCCACCCCCCTCACACCCCCATTCCCCTCCCCTTCCCCCCCATGCCCCTCCCCCTCACCCCCATGCCCTCCCCCTCCACCCCATCCCCTCCCCCATGCCCCCTCCCCCCTCACCCCCATGCCCCTCCCCTCCCCCTGCCCACCCCCCATGCCCTCCCCCCCACCCCATGCCCCTCCCCTCACCCCCCATGCCCCTCCCCCCCCCCCCCCTACCCCCCTGCCCCCCCTCACCCCCCATGCCCCTCCCTCACCCCCCATGCCCCTCCCCCTAACCCCCCATGCCCTCCCCCTAACCCCCCATGCCCCCCCCCTCACCCCCCATGCCCCTCCCTCACCCCCCATGCCCCTCCCCTCCCATGCCCACCCCCCTCACCCCCCATGCCCCCCCCTCACCCCCCATGCCCCACCCACTCCCCCCATGCCCCCCCCCCCCCCCCCCATGCCCCACCCCCTCACCCCCATGCCCCTCCCCCTCACCCCCATGCCCCTCCCCCTCACCCCCATGCCCCTCCCCCTCACCCCCCATGCCCCACCCACACCCCCCATGCCCCTCCCCCTCACCCCCCATGCCCCACCCCCTCCCCCCATGCCCCTCCCCCTCACCCCCCATGCCCCACCCCCCTCCCCCCGCTGCCACTTCCGCTGGGGTCGAGTGGAGGCGGCGCGCGCTGTGCATTGTGGGTGGCGAGCGGCTGGTTTGGATTCCCGCTCACGGCCACCGTCAGTGGCGAGCGAAAGCTTCTGAAGCGGCGGCTCGCTGGGCCTCCTCTGCGTCGACTCAGCCTGAAGGTGAGAACCTCGCGCGGTGTGTCCACATCAGCAGTGGCGGCGGCGGTGGGAGGAGACAGAGGAGGCGCCTGGCCCACAGCCGTCACGTTCTGCGGAGTTCACGGCGCAGCTTCAAGCAGAGCTCGGCCCTGCTGCTGCTGCTGCTGTTGTGGTTACATTATAGTTGTGGTTACATTATAGTTGTGGTTACATTATAGTTGTGGTTACATTATAGTTGTGGTTACATTATAGTTGTGGTTACATTATAGTTGTGGTTACAGTTGTTGGTCGTGGTTATTGTTGTGATTATAGTTGTGTGGTTGTTACTGTGGTGGTTGTGCAGGTGGTGGCACACGAGTTAACCCATAGCACCAGGGTCTAGCCCTCCTCTTGTACCGAGCCAGGCAGAGCAGTCGGCCCATGGCACCTGAGTCTGGCCCGTGACCTCCTCCTGCACTTAGCCTGGCACAGCCGTCAATCCATGGCACCTGGGTTATTGTGGTGACGTCACCGCCACGTAGTGGTGAATGGCGACTGTTGATGTGTGTGGGATTGTGTGTGAGTATGATGGTGAATGCGTGAGTATGATGGTGAGTATCATGGTGAGTGTGATGGTGAGTGTGATGGTGAGTGTATCATGGTTGGTGAGTAATACTGAGTGTGAGTTTGACTAAATATCTTCCCTCTCGCTGTCTCTGCTTTCCCCCCTAACTACCTCGCCTGGTATACAGGAGTTTGTAGGTTCGATCCCGACCCTGATGCCTGCTGTATATTTGGAGTTTGCGTGTCTCTGTCTCTCCCCGTGGTCGCGTTGATTTTTCTCTGGGTTCTGCGGTTTTTCTCTCCACATTAAGAAACATTCGTTTAAAGCAGGGGTCCTCAAACTTTTTAAACAGGGGGCCAGTTCACTGTCCCTCAGACCGTTGGAGGGCCGGACTATAGTTAAAAAAAACTATGAACAAATTCCTATGCACACTGCATATATCTTATTTTGAAGTGAAGAAACAAAACGGGAAAAATACAATATTTAAAATGAAGAACAAGTAAAGTTAAATCAACAAACTTGCCAGTATTTCAATGGGAAATATGGGCCTGCTTTTGGCTAATGAGATGGTCAATGTCCGGTTCCATATTTGTCACTGCTAATCGTAACAAGTGATGCAAGTGTGCATCCGTTAGTCTAGATCTGGTTGGAGATTTCAAATGTTTCATTCTGGAAAAAGTCTGTTCACAGACTTGTGCTGCCAAAGATGGTTGCCATTTTGAGTGCATGGTTCCTGAGATGAGGATATGTCTCAGAGGAGAGAGATGCATAGAAATTATGAAGGCTGCTTGACTTGAATGCGTCTTTCAGAGAGTCACAATTCTGCAGTTCAGCCAGTTCCATTTGGTAAATTGTATCCACATTTTCAATGTCAATAGAAAATGGGTTACGGAAAAGCTGTATGTCCTGTTCATGGAGATGAAGCTCTTTAAATCTAAATTGGAACTCCTTTTGCAATTTTTCCAGTGAATCCACACATGTTTTGTTTGGGAATGCAACCAATGGTTTTTCCGCTAACAGATTTTGAGTTGTGGGGAGATGGCAGAAGTTTTCCTCCTTCACTTGTTTGATGAGGAGGCCTAATTTTACTTCAAATGCTTGGACATGTGATTGCATATCACAGATGAGCTTCCCCTTTCCTTGAAGTTGCACATTGAAACTGTTGAGTAGCTCTGTTACATCTGTCAGAAAGGCAAGGTGCCATTTCCATTCTGCATCATTGAGCTCTGGTACTTCTTTGTTTTTTGAAAGCAGAAAAGCTGTAATCTGTGGAAGTAAGTCATAGAAACGTTTCAAAACTCTCCCTCGACTCAGCCAACGGACTTGTGTGTGGTACAGAACATCTTCATAGTCAACATTTAGCTCCGACAGAAATTCCTGAACTTGTCTGTGGTTTAGTGCATGACCTCTAATGAAGTTAACACAAGATACCACAATTTTCATAACAGAGTCCCACTTCAGTGATTTACTACACAGCGCTTGTTGGTGGATGAGGCAGTATATGGCTATTGGATGAGAATGGTTATGTTTGTCCATCTCTTGGTTAATGCGAGCAATTACTCATTTCTTAGACCCCACCATGCTAGGAGCACCATCAGTTGTCACACTGGCTAGTTTAGCCCAGTTCAGCTCCAAACCATTCACAGTTTGGCAAACCTTTTCATAGATATCCTCTCCTGTAGTTGTTCCTTTGATGCTTTGCAGTGCAGCAAGCTCTTCTGTGACTTCGAAATAGTCATTCGTCCCACGAATAAAAATTAAAAGTTGTGCAGAATCACGAACATCATTGCTTTCGTCGAGTGCCAAGGAAAAATAGGAAAGTTTTTTTTGTGGAGTTTTGCAAATGCTGATGCAAATTGTCTCCCATTTCTTCAATCCTCCGTGTAATTGTAGGTCCTGAAAGACTCACTGTACTAAACAAATCGGCCTTCTCTGGACACATCTCTTTGGCAACAGAAAGAAGGCATTCTTTAACAAATTCTCCCTCCACGGATGGTCTGCCAGTGCACGCTATTAGCTTGGCAACTTGAAAACTTGCTCGCAGTGATGAAATATTTAGCTGCTTCTGCTTCACAAAAGTATTTTGCTGAGTTGTTAATGTATTTTTCAGTTTTAATATTTTATCTTTTCTCACTTCTCCGACCAAACAATCATATTTATCTTTATGTTGAGTTTCATAGTGTCGACATAAATTGTATTCTTTGAACACAGACACTATATTCTGGCATATCAGACACACAGCTCTTTCCTTGTACTGCATGAAAAAGTAATCATAAGTCCACTGTTCTTTGAATATCCTACACTCCGAGTCAATTTTTCTCTTTCTTGACATCATTGTTTCCTAGGGAGTCAAAATTGCTATTAGTAAAATACCAATATATATACAGCGCTACAAAAACAATATACCTGCAATAACTTTGCCCACACAGAGACATACAAACTGCACTGCCCATCAATGCAGTCTGATTGGGGGAACTCCGCTTTTACCCCAGGCTCACACTGGTGCGGGTGCCATTAAAAAGTGAATTACATCTGCAGTTTTGTTCACAGATCGCAGTGCGGTGGGCCCAATGAGTGCCCACCGCCGCAGCTCAATCAGTGCTCACCAGCGCAGCCCAATCAGTGCCCACTAGCGCAGCTCAATCAGTGCTCATCAGCGCAGCCAAATCAGTGCTCGCCACCGCAGCCCAATGAGTGCTCACCAGCGCAGCCCAATGAGTGCTCACCAGCGCAGCCCAATGAGTGCTCACCAGCGCAGCCCAATGAGTGCTCACCAGCGCAGCCCAATGAGTGCTCACCAGCGCAGCCCAATTAGTGCTCACAAGCGCAGCCCAATTAGTGCTCACAAGCGCAGCCCAATTAGTGACCATGGGCCGGATAAATGTCCTCAGCGGGCCGCATGTGGCCCGCGGGCCGTAGTTTGAGGACCCCTGGTTTAAAGTTTTGACTTAAAACTTTCGTGACTGCAGGAATTCATATTCTTGGTTCTTTCGGTCAAGTCACGTAAATAGAAAAAAAAAATCTATTTTTTTTAAGTAAAAAGAATAAGATGAATTGAAAATAATAAAAGCAATTTATATTTATTTTATTTGCATTACTAATTTTTTGGTTTTTTATTTACGTGACTTTACCGAAAGAACCAAGAATATGAATATTCGTTTAAAGTATTTGGCTGCTATAATTTACACGTGATGATGAGCCACTTCGTTGAGCTATTATTGGTGCCAAGTCGCTTCTGAATAAGTAATATTTAAAAGTACTTTTTTTTTTAAAAAACACGCTTTAATTAAATTAAATGTACCACGACTCCAGGAAGTGGCCCCGATGCTTGCCAACGTCAGTTGAGCGTGGACAATTAGACCCAAGCCGAAACATAACATATAAAATGAATGTTTAAAACTACTTGTTTTTTATAGAATGTAATTTTGTCATCAGTATGACATAAGTATACCAAGTTTGCAGTCGATACCACATTGGGAAGTGGGTTAAAATTGAGTTGCAAGATTTGAGGATACGACAACAACAACAGAGTGAGTTAAATAAAAGCGCATAATAAAAGAGATGTTTATCTCAGTGGACCTTACCTGGTGAAATGAAAATCGTTGAGATTGTAGTCTAGTTTTATCTCTCCTTCCCGAGCACAACAACAAGCAGGAGTAGTGGGAGGAGCATTCTCCACTAACGGCGCTTGTGCCAGGATATGTACACCACAGATATCCATCACATAGAGACCCATAGAGTCATCACACATAGACCTATACACTCACTATGCACAGACCCTCAGACTTTCACAGAGAACCATAGACTCACCACAGAGACCCATAGACTCACAGAGAGACCCAAGGGCTCGCACGTGAATGTGTGGTGATTTAGTTGAAGGTGGAGGGGGGTTACCAGCCCCTCGCACCCATCCAGAACTCCCTGTGGCCACTGGTGGCTGCGGGCGACGTGAGGTTCACAGCTGGTCAGGGTTGGCGCCCCCCCCCCCAAAATGGCATCTCTCACAACCACCGCTGCATTATCAACCGTCACCATTCGCCAATAAGTGACAGTGACGTCACCACAGCGCCTGTGCCAGGCCAGGTGCACTTTGAAGCCACGTGAAGTGGCGAAGGCTCGTTGACCGGAGGTCCTGGAACAGACCCAGGTGCCATGGGTTGGCTGACTGAGATGACTGGCAGCACCACCTGTACCCTGTACTGTGCCAAATTGCTGCATATTTATCATCCGGTGTTCCGCTCGTTGTTGTGAGCGTCACTCCTCCGTTGTTGTTGGAGGGCGAGTGTCGCCAACTGCCAAGTAGAAGCATCCTTCACGAGCCTCCCCGCAGAGGCCGATCTCGACACCACTGGTACCAGTCGTCGGCAAAGCCCACTCAGCTCCACATCCTCCCGTACCGCGTCAGTCCACCTCCACTCCAGCCCATGCCGTGCCCGCCCAGCTCCCTCCATCCACCCACATACTCACTTACCGGCTTACTCACGCACTCACCCACTCATCTGCTAACGCACCCACACAGGCTACGCAAAGCATCGTGATCAATTTACACCAAAATCTACTCTCAACCACTTAAACGACATTCGTAAATGATGCGCACCCTAATCAGCCACTATGGCTGTGTGCAGGGTGTTGTGATGTCACGTAGTACGACGTTTTTCTTGCTCCCCCCCCCCCCCCCCCCCCGTTATAACGCGTTGTCTATCTATGGCCTCGTCACATTGGCCTTAATGGACGCGTGGTGATGGTGAAAGATGATTCGGCGGTGGACACTGAATTACCGGAGCCCCATTTACCATTCAGGTGACACGGGGCACGGTACGTGAAGAACCTCTTATGTCCTGTAAACAGACTTCTCTGCGTGGGATAGTTAACACCTCTTAATGCACAGACAACCGGCAACGCAGCCTCGCCTGCCGGAGGAGCTCGCTGATGATCGGACAGTGTTCAGATCTCTCAAGGATCTGTGAGCTACTCGCACACAAAGATCCCCGTGTAGCCTTTAACAGACTGTTGGGGCAAGTGCTTTATAACATCATCAAAGGGGTGCTGCAATACGATGCAATCAAAATCACCGATCAGAGATTTTCCTATATATGGTCTTTGTTGATTGTGAATCGATACTGATTGTATTGATTCCACTCAGTCGTTACAGCAGCAAGCTCAAAATGTCCGATTTTATCTGAAAATTTCTGCGTTTCACAGATCATACAAAGCAACGGTATTGATGCCTGGTTTGTATGTACTTTTTATTAAAAAACAAATGCATGTAGTCTATCAGACTTTTGTATTAAATCGCTCTGCAAAAAGTCATTTTGTATGCTAATAAATCAATGTTACGCTAATGCAAAATTTCATCATAGCCGCGACTCGGTTTACTCCGATGTGCAATGTCATCTTTATTTCGATCCTGTGAGTGTACAATTTTATATTAAACTTCATTTACTGAGTGAATACAAGACCACTTATATGATGATGTCCATTTTTATCATAGCTGTGATTCATTCAGCCATTCACTCACTCAGCCACAAACTCACTCAGCCACACACTCACTCAACGACTCACTCAACTACTCAGCCGCTCACTCACTCAGATATTCACTCACTCAACCACTCACTCACTCAATAATTAACTCAACCACTCAACCAATCATTCAACCACCCACTCACTCAATCACTCAACCATCACGCTCTCACTCACTCAACCATTCACTCACTCAGCCACTCACTCAGCCACTCACTCACTAAACCACTCACTCATTCAACCACTCGCTCACTCAACCATTTACTCACTCAACCACGCACTTGCTCACTCAAGCACTCGCTCACTCAACCACTCGCCCAACCACTCGCTCAACGACTAACTCTACCACTCACTCTCTCACTCAACCCCTCACTCAACCTTTCACTCAACCCCTCACCAAACCACTCAACGACTCACCAGAATCCTCTCGGCTTGGGGACTCACTTAACCATTCACTTAACCACTCACTCGAGCAACCACTCACTCACTTAATGACTTACTCAACCACTCAACCAATGACTTTCTCACTCACTCAGCCACTCACTCCTTCACTCAGCCACTCACTCATTTAGCCACTCACTCAGCCACACACTCAACCACTCAGCCGCGCACTCACGAAGCTACTTACTCACGAAGCTACTTACTCACTCAACCACTCACTCACTTAATCACTTACTCAGCCACTCAACCATCACTCTTTAACTCACTCAACCATTCACTCACTCAGCCACTCACTCAGCCACACACTCAACCACTCAGCCGCGCACTCACGAAGCTACTTACTCACGAAGCTACTTACTCAACCATTCACTCACTTAATCACTTACTCAGCCACTCAACCATCACTCTTTAACTCACTCAACCATTCACTCAATCAGCCACACTCACTCAACGACTCACTAACTTAACCGCTCAGCCGCTCAGTTACTCTATCTCAATCACTCAACCACTCACTCATTCAACCATTCCCGAATTCATTCAACCAGTCACTCAACCATTATGTCGCTGGACGAGTCCCACCTTGATGGGTCTGCGACATTTCTTTCCAGAGTTATTGCCAAAAAACCACAAACATCCCAGAATCCTCTCGGTTTGGGGTCCAAATGTTGTCACTTATTATATCCCATGAGAAACATCGCATCGAATAAATGTGATTGGATTCTCCCCGCCTGGACGAGCAGAATTGAATATGTAAGCATCAGGGTTTGGATCAAACCTACAACCTCCTGTATACCGGGCGAAGTAGTGAACTCGTCACCCGGGTCACCCTAATCCATTCCCGTATCTCTTCTTCTGTGTGTGTGCTACAGGCGGGTGTCTCAGATTGCCAGCACCATGTGATGGGAGCTCCAGGGCATGCTGCGTGCTCGCCAGGAGGGGCTGGGCAAGATGGCGTAGTCGCTGGAGCAGCTGCGGGCGCGGCACCGTCGCTCTCACCCTGGCGGAGTGCAGCAACACAGTGGAGCGGCACCAGCGGGACACTCTGGACAACGCAGCCAAGGTGCGCGCCAGCCACTCACTCACTCATCCACTCACTCACTCAGCCACACATACAACCACTCACTCACTCATCCACTAACTTAAACCACTCACTCAACTACTCACTCACTCAACCACTCACTCAACCATTCACTCAAACATCCACTTACTCAACCACTCAATCAATCACTCAGTCATTAACTTAACCACTCACTCAACCACACACTCATGCGCTTTAAACACTCACTCATTGGTTCAAACACTCACTCATTCAAATACTCATTAAACCACTCACTAATTCACTCAACGACTCACTCACTGAACCACTCACTCGCTCACTCAACCACCCGCTCGCTCACTGAACCAATCGCTCCATAAATCACTCATTCAGCCACTCACTCAACCATTCACTCACTCACTCACTCAGCCACTCACTCAACCAATCAATCACTCAATCATGAATTAAACCGCTCACTCACTCAACCCCTTACACACAGGCTCATCACCTGTGTCTCAACCATCTTACTGAGTAACATAACTCTTTTTTTAGAAGTGACCTGGCCACAAGTGATAGGTCAACAACGTGCCTTATGTGGAAATATATAGCAGCCAACTACTCTAAATGCCTGTTTCTAAATGTGTAGGGAAAATCCAGAGGACCAGAATAAAAATCCACTTGACCACGGAGAGAACATGCAAACTCCAAATACACAGGTGTCAGGGTTGGGATCTAACCGACAACCTCCTGTATACCAGACGAGGTAGTTAACATTGTATCCGGGCAAGCCGTACATCGAGCTGGAGTGGACCATGCGGCCCATCCCTATCGCGTGAGTGGCTCCCACTGTTGTTATTGTGTTCATATGTGTGTGGTCTGCTTGTGTGTATGCGTGTGCCGCACTGCGCTATGAACCCAACATGACCAGGCTGTTGCCCCGCTCGCCCGACTCGTTGAGAGGCTTGCCCACCCCCCAGGGCGTTGTCGTGAAGATACCGCTGGGAGGAAGAATATCTCACAATACTGGAAGAGGTGAGGACTACACATAGAGTGGGTGATTAACTGGGTGGGTCTGTGAGTGAGTTGGTGGGTGAGTCAATGGGTGAGTCGGTGGGTGAGTGGGTGAGTGAGTGTGTTAGAGATTGAGTGGGTGGTGGGTGATTGTGTGAATTAGTGGGTGGGTGAGTGAATGGTTTGAAGTGAGTGAGTGGGTGAGGGAGTGGCTGAGAGGTGGGTTGGTGAGTGGATGAGAAAATTGGTGGGTTAGAGATTGAGTGGGTGGGTAACTAGGTGATTGGGAGGGTGAGTGGGTGAGTGGCTTAATGGGTGAGTAAGTCGGTGGGTGAGTAGGTGAGTACCTGGATAAGTAAGTGAGTGTATGGGAGCATGAGTGGGTGGATGGTTGACTAGGTGGGTGAATAGGTGAGTGGGTGGTGGGTGGGTGAATTATTGAGTGACTGTGTGAGTGAGTGCGTGGGTAGGTCAGTGCGATATTGTGTGGGGGAGTGGGTGAGTGAGGGGTTGAGTGAATAGGTTAATGGGCGGGTGAGTAGATTGTTGGGTGAGTGGGTGGTGGGTGAGTCAGTTAGTGGGTGGGTGAGTGAATATCGAAGGTTGAGCAGGTGAGTTAGTGTGTGATTGGGTGCGTGGGTGAATCAAAGAGTGGGGCACCACGGTGGCGACATGTTAACTACCTCACCTAGTATACAGGATTTTGTGAATTCGATCCCATCCCTTGCACCTGTATATTTGGAGTTGGCATGTTCTCCCTGTGGTCGTGTGGATTTTTCTCTGGGTCCTCCAGGTTTTCTCTCCATATTTAAAATCAACATTCATTTAGAGGATGTGGCTGCAATGAATGTCTCCATGATAATCCACTTCGTTAACCTATCATTTGTAACCAGGTCACTTCTGAAAAATATTAATTTAGTTATCTGAACCTTTTCTGGTAAAATAAAAAGATATTGTTTAATTTAGTTTATTGGGTGGGTGAGTGGGTAGGTGGGTTATTGAGTGATTTGGTGGGTAGGTTAGAGATTGAGCGGGTGAATGGGTGGGTGTGTGAGTGGGGGTGTGATTAGTTGAGTAGGTGAGTGGGTGAGTAAATTGTTGAGTGAGTGGATTAGAGATTGAGTGGGTGGCAGGGTGAGTGGGTTTGTGAGTGGATTGGTGGGTGTTTGAATGGGTGAGTGGGTGGAGTGCCGTGGTGGCGAGCTGTTAACTACCTCGCCTTTTATACAGGAGGTCGTGAGGTCGATCCCGACCCTGACACCTGTATATTTGCATGTTCTCCCCATGGTTCCGTGGAATTTTCTCCAGGTGCTCCGGGTTCTCCCTCCACATTTAAAAACATGCAATTATAGAATTTGGCTGCTATCACTTTATACGTGAAAAGCCACGTAATTGAGTTGAATATTTCTGGTCAAATGGTTTTTGAAAAATATCTATATAGCTGAGTGCCTTACCTGGTAAAATAAAAAAGCGTAATTTTCATTTAGTGTGCAAAGGAGTGGCTGGGTCGGTGAGTGGATGAGTGAGTGCGATGTTTGATGGGTGTTTTATTTAACTTTTATTAATTTACATTTTTTTTACCTACGTGACTTTACCGAAAAAACCTAAGAATAGTTTAATGGGTAGTAGGTCAGTGGTGGGGTGAGTGAGTGTGGGCTAGAGATTGAGTGGGTGGCTTGGTGAGTGGGTGAGTGTGTGCTTGGCTCGGTGGTTGAATGAATGGATGGTTGAGTTAGTGGGTGGGTGTTTGAGTGTGTGTTATCGTGGGTGGGAGAGTCAGAGAGTGGAGTGCCATGTTGGCAAATTGTTAACTATCTTGCCTGGTATTTTTAAGTTCGTAGGTTCGATCCAAACCCTGCTTCTCAAAACAGTCTATATAGCTTAGTGGGCCTTACCTGGGGAATTTTTTTTTTTGATTTAGTTAAGGGTGTTGGTGAGTGGGCAGGTGGGTGAGTGCATCAGTGTGGGTTTGAGATTGAGTGGGTGGCTTGGTGAGTGGGTAAGTTCGAGTGACTCAGTGGTTGAGTTTGTGGCTGGTTACGTTAATAGGTGATTAAATTAATGGGTGGGTCAATAATTACGTTGGTAGTGGGTGAGTGGCTGAGGGAGTAGGCGGGTGGTTGGCTGGGTGGGTGGGTGAGTAGGTGGGTTATAAATTGAGTAGGTGGCAGGGTGAGTGGATCTGAAAGTGGGTGAGTGAGTAGGTGCATGGCTGGGTGAGTTAGTGACTGGATGGATGAGTGAGTGGGTGAGTGTGTGGGTGCAGGGATGTGTGGGTGGGTGAGTGTGTGTGGGTAGGAGGTTAGGTGGATAGTGCGTGAATGGGTGGTTTAGAAATTGAGTGAGTGGGTTAGTCACTGGGTGAGTGAGTAGATGGGTGGGTTTGTGAGCTTTGGTTAAGAGATTGAGTCAGTAGCAGGGTTGGTGTGTGGTTTAGAGATTGAGTGTGTGGTTGGGTGAGTGGGTGGTGTGTGGTTGGGTGAGTGGGTGGTTGGGTGAGTGGGTGGGTTAGAGATTGAGTGGCTCGGTGAGGGAGTATTGGGTGGGTGAAGTGAGTTGGTGGGTCGGTGAGTGCGTGGGTGGGTGATTCAGTAAGTGGGTGAGTGAGGGGTTTGGTGAGCGATGGGTTGAGTGGGTGTGTTATTTGTTCGTGAGTTTGTGGGTGGGTGAGTGGGTCAGTTAGTGATTGGGTGAGTAAGTGGGTGGGTGAGCAAGTGAGTGAATGGGTGTGTTGGTAGGTGAGTGTGTAGCTTGGTGAGTGGTCGTAGGGTGAGTGGGTGGGTGAGAAAGTGGTTAACTGAGTGAATGGTTGGGTGGGTGGGTGAGTTGTTGACTGAGTGGAGTCAGCGAGTGGGTGGGTTAGTTGATGTGGGAGGTTGAGTGGGTAAATTAGTGTGTGAGTGAGTGGATGGGTGAGTCGGAGAGTGAGGCGCCAAGGTGGTGAGACGTGCACTGCCTCGCCTGGTATACAGGAGGTTGTGGATTCGATCCTGACTCTGTCGCCTGTATATTTGGAGTTTGCATGTTCTACACATGGTCGCGTGGATTTTGCTGCAGGTCCTCCGGGTTTTCCCCTCTGCATTTAGAATCAACATGCGTTTAGAGGATTTGGCTGCAATACATGTCTATGTGATAAGCCACTTCGTTTATCTATAATTTGTTCACAGGTCTATTCTGAAAAGGATCTATATAGCTCAATGGGCCTTACCTGGGGAAATAAAAAGTAGTTTAGTTTAGGGGGTAGGTGGCTCGTTGGGTCGGTAGGTCTGTTGCAGGTCAAGTAGGTGGCAGGGTGAGTGGGTGAGTAGGTCAGTGGCAGGGTGAGTGGGTGGACTGGTGAGTGTGTGAGTTAGAGATAGAGTGGGTGGATGGGTGGGTGTATGATTGGGAGAGTGAAATGGTGAGTGGATGGGTGAATGAATTGTTGAGTGAGTGAGTCAGTGAGTGGGTGTGTAGGTGGGTGGTTAGCAAGGTGTGTGGGTCTTTGAGTGGGTATGTGGCTGAATGGGTATGTGGCTGAATGGGTATGTGGCTGAATGGGTATGTGGCTGAATGGGTATGTGGCTGAATGGGTATGTGGCTGAGTGGGTATGTGGCTGAGTGGGTATGTGGCTGAGTGGGTATGTGGCTGAGTGGGTATGTGGCTGAGTGGGTATGTGGCTGAGTGGGTATGTGGCTGAGTGGGTATGTGGCTGAGTGGGTATGTGGCTGAGTGGGTATGTGGCTGAGTGGGTATGTGGCTGAGTGGGTATGTGGCTGAGTGGGTATGTGGCTGAGTGGGTATGTGGCTGAGTGGGTATGTGGCTGAGTGGGTATGTGGCTGAATGGGTATGTGGCTGAATGGGTATGTGGCTGAATGGGTATGTGGCTGAATGGGTATGTGGCTGAATGGGTATGTGGCTGAGTGGGTATGTGGCTGAGTGGGTATGTGGCTGAAGTGGGTATGTGGCTGAATGGGTATGTGGCTGAAGTGGGTATGTGGCCTGAATGGGTAGGTTAGTGGGTGGCTGCGAGTCAGAGAGTGGAGCCCCATGGTGGCGAGATGTTAACTACCTTACCTTTTGTAAAGGAGGTTGTGGGTTCGGTCTCGATCTTGATGCCTGTATATTTGGAGTTTGCATGTTGTCCTCGTGGTTCATGGATTTTTCTCCGAGACCTCTGGGTTTTTTGTGGCCACGTTGCTTCTGAATAAGATCTGTATAGCTCTGTGGGCCTTGCCTTGTAAAAAACAAAATTTAGTTTACAGTTAGGTGAGTGGGTATTTGAGTGCGTAGGTGGGTGAGTGAGTTGGTGGGTGGTTAGGTTAGTAGGTGAGGGGCTGGGTGAGTGAGTTGTTGGGTTAGATATGGAGTAGGTCATAGTGTGAGTGGGTGGGTTGGTGCGTGAGTTGGTCAGGGAGTGGGTGGGTGAGTTAATGGGTGGGTTGTTGGGTGAGTGAGTTAGTGAGTGCATTTGCAGGTGGGTGCGTGGATGATTGGTTTAGTGAGTGGGTTAGAAATTGAGTGCGTGGCAGGGTGAGTGGGTTTGTGAGTCGGTTAGTGGGTGTCTTTAGTAGTTGAGTGGGTGAGTCAAAGAATTGAGCGCCACGGTGGCAAGATGTTAACTACCTCGCCTACTATACAGAATGTTGTGGGTTCGATCCCAACCCTGACGCCTGTATATTTCACTCCACATGTAGAAACATGTAATAAGAGGAATTGGGTGCAATAAATGTATACAGCGACTTTGTTGAACCATCATTTGTGGCGAGGATGCTTCTGAAAATAATCTTTATAGCTCAGTGGGCCTTACCTGGTAAAAGAATATCTCACATTACCAGAAGAGGTAAGGACTACATATAGAGTGGGTGATTAACTGGGTGGGTCTGTGAGTGTGGGTCAGTGATCGAAGAAGTAGGTGAGTGAGTGTGTTAGAGATTGTGGGTGATAGGGTAAGCCATGGGTGACGTGAGTGGGTGTGTTGTTTGGGAGTGAATAGACAAGTGGTTGGGTGAGTTAGTGGGTGGCTGAGTGGGTGGGTGG